GATCTCATTACACTGAGCCAATACACCTGTGTACGAGGGGGATCCAGAGAGGGGCGGCGGGCCAGGAAGGACAAACAAAGCGTGAAATCACTAAATCACACTCATTATTGGGGGATATCAGTAGGGCCAGGATCCTAATGTACCATGAAGAGCATTCACTGCTTAATGGACATTTTACACAATTTTTATACATTTTATACATTTATACATACACGGTAAAGCAAATTTTCAACAATAGCTGAGGCATTTACTTATTTTACGTATTTTTTATTTCATTGTGAATCTTCAGATTTAACAAGCGCATTATCTTCATCTCACACCTTTTTTCAAAATGTTCTGAGACTCTTCTTCTTATATCTCCATGTTTACCATGTTGTTGTCTGATTAGACAAAAGAACCTGGAAGATCACAGCAGCGTAGCATAATAGTCAGGCCTCCTGTGTGTTGTAAAACAGTTTATGGCGTCTGTCAATCCACCGGAGCAAAAGAAACCTCCCTCTGACCTCTCGTCATGTTCCACCATCAGTGTACAACGCTCAAACAGGCTCTCTTTGTTGTACACCTGACCAGGAGCTAATTTCAGTGCGGCCCTCTCCACCGTCAACATGGGTGAGAGGGCAGGGAGTCTCTGTAACAGCAACGCCGCTCTCGTTATTTCACAATTAATGTCAAGCCCTTGTTATTTGTCACTGGAAATACATGGCTTTGGTGCTGCTGCTGTTGTTGCTGCCATATTCTAATTTGTTCTCCATTATGGAAAACACTGGTGTCGATTAATTTCACTTTCATGGCTTGTACACACAACAAGTGAGAGGGAGGTGGTGTTGTTTACCAGCAGCCAGCACTCGTGTCCAATTTATAATGGCAAAAAAAAATGCTTTTAAATTATGGCATGTTTGAAATCCTTTTTTTTTTTGTTTTTTTTTTATCATTTGCAAATTTTGGTTGGTCCTCTGTTGTACAAATTATGTGCTGAGCTGTAACCTTCACACTTTTCCTTATTAGTATTTAATTAAATTATAGTGACAATGCAGACGTTTTGTATGACGTTGAGAAGATTTTATGACGTTTGTTTCCTAAAGCCTGCTGCTCCACCTGCAAATTCAAAAGCGCATATTTACTCCGGGAGTCACACTGCTCATTTTTTTTTTTTTTTTTTTCCTGTCATGTTGTTTTTATTTTCATTTCCATTTCCTCTGAGTGAAATGATCTCCGCTCACAGCCACAGTCCCCTCCATTACACCTAATAAGGTGTCATATAATTTAATTCCATGCTTCACTTGTCAGAAAGGGCTTCCAATCCTACTCCAATTTTGAGTTTTAATAGATATTAGTCCTTAACACTCTCCTCACAATTAGGCCTCCCAGTTTTGCTCTTAATGAAAATCAGATTAAGACATATAATCTAATTACAGTTCATATTAATCCACCCTCTGATACACTCTGCCTCTCAGACCCTCTTTGGTGCAATCAGTTATTTTGCCCGCCAGTTTGTCAGTCAGGACACTCGCACTGCGAATGTGTCTATGTGACTCTGGTTTGTATTTACTGTAGAGGTGGGACTGAATAATGTGATGCTGCTCTACGCTGTTGAACTTTTCCACGACACTTTGAGGGATAGTAAATGTCAAAGGAAATAAAAATACGGTGAAGGAAAAAAGTTAATCTCATAAATTAATTCAACCTACGGGTTGAAATGACCCATTTAGACTTGTAATTTAGAAATGAACTTCTCTCCCTCTATCTTCCGTTTTTGTCAGTTTTATCGTGACTACATGATTTGGATGGAGCCATGAAGTAGTCTTAGACTGATAAATTCTGTGCGTATCTGCGGACCTCGTTTCATGGGAGAAATGTCCTTATCAGAGGCCCTTTGATGTTCTGAAATATCACACCGTGGTTCAGTCTGAATGTCATGTCTGTTCGATTGTTCATTTGACACTCCTCTATTATGAGCCATGTTTTCATAATTACTGCCATCACTGTATAATTACCAACATAATTAATAACCGACCTCCCTTCCTCTAACCCAGTATGAGCGGAGATACCTTCTTGAGAGCCGGCGGTCAGATCCAAAACTTTATCTTAGACGAGAGGAAGAAGTCTTGAACCACAATTCCATCAGTTTCATCACTTCAGAGAGAAATGATTAACTCTCTCTACTAGACCACTGGGTTTCTCAATGAAAGAAATTATATGGAAAATTGATAGGGATTTTAACTTTCAACCCCCACCATCACCACCACCACCCCATTAGATTCAACCCCTGAGAATCAAAGTTATCTTCAGAAAAAACTAATCTTTGAAGCATTGCTCGCTTTCATTATTATTTTTTTTTCTCTTCACGTCTTTATCTGTCTCTGTGTCTCTCTGTCTCCCTCCTCATGTCTCAGGCTTTGAGACAGCCAGGTCCTTTGCTCTTCATGGTGCCCACGTGATCCTGGCATGTCGAAACCTGTCCCGGGCCAGCAAGGCTGTTGGCCTCATACAGCAGGAGTGGGTAAGTGACAGGCAAACCCCCCCCAAGAACCTAGCAAATTGTCTGATCTTTCTCTGCTCTCTGTTGTTTTCTTATCATCAACAAATGTTATAAAAAGACCAAAAGTAACAATGAATTGATCTTACTAACAGGTTTTGGCAGGGAAGCTAAAACATGATGTATCTTACTCCTTTATGCTACTGGCATCTGTTGCCCAAAAACTACTTAAAACACATTAGTGAGCCACTCTGTTACACTGGATGACTTCATTATAACAAATATGTGCACTGTATTTTATTTTGAGTCAATCCCACATTCATCGTCCTGCTGCCATAAATACTTACTGGCATACCAAATGTGTATTAATCCACAGTTGAAAATAGTCAGAAGGTTCGGACACTATAGACGGATTAATATGCTGCTGATTTTGGTCTTTTCATGGGATTTGTTTGTCGTAATAAAACAAAAAAAAAACAAAAAAGAAAAAAATTTAAAAACATAAAAAAGAATTTTATCAGCCTTATCCTTTCCTTTTCTATCCTTTCATGTAATATGTGTGAAACATTATAGCCCTATGTTTATTTGGTATTGTCAATTCTATATGTAGTGCTACAGAGTATAATCTATATATAGACTATCTAATTGAATCTCTGTATGAGAGATCTGTGTTATGTCTATCCGTTACCCCCTTTGATCCCTCCATTAAGGCCTTTTTTCTAGACTCCAGACACATTTGTGTTCAAGGGCTATATAAATACAAATTGACTTGACTTGTTCCAATGTGAACAGTGGACGTGTGATATGTCTCATGTTACATTAATTCACCTCTCAATGGCATGAAATAAATTATCATGAAACGAGCATAAAATTTCTCCATGATCCATGTACTCAGGTCTCCCTTGTTAAAGAGAAAACCTTTGTATTTATGTTTAGGCTTTCACAAACTGTCTGCACACTTCTCAGGAAAGGTGAAGAAACTTCTGTATAGCTGTCTTTAGTAAAGCAAGAGAGAAAGGGAGAGTTAAAGGGAGGGAGGCAGAGAGAGGGAGAAAAAGTGTGAGAGGGCATCTGATAATTACCTGAGATTATTGCTCTAATATCGCTGCGCTTGTGACGCGTCCCCAGATTTACGAGTGTGGGAAAATAAACAAGTGAAATGTGGGTGCTGGAGCAGAAAGAATAAGCCATTAGCACTGGGTTGATTACAGAGACCAGGACTTGAAGAAGAAGGAGTGTGAGTGCTCGGCACAGATATGGAGAGAGAGGCTGAGAGGGGGGGAAAAGAGGGAGAGAGAAAGAGAGAGGGAGACAAACGCCTTTGAGCGAGAGTAGATCCGCAGTGTTTAAACTCACCCAAGTCTCTAATTGAAGTATGCCCCTGGGGCTGTCAGTGCTGCTCCACAGTGTGAAATCCAGTGTACAGATCTATTAATGTAGCTGCTTTGTCTGAATGAGTGAGAAAAAGCTCTGATCCAAGTACCAGATTTTGTAGCCAAATTGATTTTCACATCACACCTGACACAGAATTATCCAAGGTGTTGTTAAATGTTTATTAATTAACAAATGGAAGCTGCTTGGAATTGTTTCAAAAGATTAAACGATTGGTGACCTCTGCAGTGTAAACGATAATCTTCCCTATTTGTGGTACAGTGGCATACAGCATGTGCAGATTGTCAGCAAATTTAATAGAGACTGAGTTAATAGAGTTCTGTATAGTTCAAATGGAGCATGAGTAGTGAATTAGCATTCCCTACGCTCACTCCATATTTCCTTCTCAAGGAATCCCCCTGTTATAGGCTAATGAATAAAAGTCACAATATCAGAATAAATCTTTGCCGCAAATTCTCCCCTCTGGCGGCATTATTAATAGATTCAGGAGAAGAATAGAGAGGAGGATTAATCTTTAAGATGATGGATGGGCTCTGCTCGCCTTCCCATGCTCCTACGTTAAGGTCATTTTGATAAGAGAGTATATTTTGGGGTCCTCTGTACAAAAGGTCATCATATCTACTTCCAGGTCCCTCTCAGAGTTCCGCTCTGGCTGCCAGGAGTGGAACTGCTGTCCCGATTGCACAGGACCTCTGACCCCTAACTACCTGCTTACTATTACTCTGAACTCTCTCTTTCTCTAACTCTCTCTCTCTGTGTCTCTGGCTGTGTGGGCTAGCGTTGCTGTTCGGAGGTGAGAGTGATGGCTCATCCGCAGTGCAGGGTGGTGCGGTTCAGCGTAGCGCCATGTACTGACAGTGGGTGTAATAGGGGGGTCACAGATGGATAATGGGCAGGTCAGAACAGCCACTGGCTGTTAGGAAGAGCAAGGTCAGAGGGTTTATCCTTCCCAGGCAATCATACTGTGCTCTGCCAGAAACGGCTACAGTATAAACAGAACAATACATTTTACACAAGATTCCTGGAAGAAATCTCCTCTGTACGCCTTCTTTAACCAGTATGAAAATATTTGTTTCTATATTTAGCATATTTAACTGTTCATTTGTACTTGACATAATAGAGCTTTTTGCACTTCGGAGTTTTGCGTTTGTGCTGAGCTTTTATCATAAAATTAGTTTCTTGCTGTGATTATGCTACACACTGTGTTCATGATGGGACTTTAGTTGCATCTCCACTGCAGGCCCAGTCTGAGCAGAACGTGTTGTTTTCTCTGCCTCTATTCGAGCTGTGAGGTGAAACCCCTCCAGCAGGCTCATTAGGGGAGTTTAGAGTGGCGGAGAGGGGATAAACATTTACCTTATGATTGTGTTTTACAATAAGCCTGATGCTGGTTGCCTTTATAGGGTTCAAAGGGGGCTGTTTTTACAGGCTGTGATGAAGCCACAGTAAAACCAGGAGGGGATTAAGCAGCAGATGGGTGCTGAGAGAGATGGAGGGAGAGCAGAGGGAGATGGGAAGACAGATAGAGAAGGAGAAAATGCAGAGAGTGAAGTGTGGTAAGCCCAAAAAGAGACAAGACAGATAGATTAGGTGAACCCAAAACTTTGACTAATGTACTTTGTAATTTTCCATATTATTGTAAAATTTGCACTCTAGTATTGTCATATGGAGACCTTCAGGGAGATCTGCTGTGTGAATCTTTAAGCTCAGAGTTTTTGGCCTCTGCCCTACGCTTTAACTACATGTCATTTTACCACAGCCCCTTACCTACATATCTATCTCCTATTCTGCTCACAGTACAGGCAGGTTAAGTTGCTGGTTAACAACCAAAGTGTTGCCTGCGTGCCAGAGATTTATTTTTCCTGATTGCCTTTAAAATTCTGCTTATCTTTGACTCCAGTTTTTCCCTCAGAAGGCTGTAATGGACTCCCCTGAGATGCAGCCCACTGCTTGGTGGGCCAAGCAAGGCCCTTGGCCCCTGAGTAGAATACAACACACACACACACACACACACACACACACACACACACACACACACACACACACACACACAAACACACACGTGTGCCATGGTCTTATTTTGTAATTTCTTTCCTTTTTTTAAAATCCAAAATGCTTATTTCCCCTACTGCCCCTTTCTACAACACATGCTAATGAGATGCTTTGTAAAGGCGTTAATTAGCGAGCTAGTCACTGATTGCTGTGCTTGTTTTTGTTGTGTGTGTGTGTGTGTGTGTGTGTGTGTATGGCAGGGGGGTATTAATATGGCTGTGTGCCGCTGAGGAGAGTTCTGTCAGGGTCTGCTCTGGAACCAATTAGGCTAAAGCTCAGTGTCCACTGAGGCTGCTGGGAGAAAAAAGCCTGCTGCTTGCAATGTCAAACAGCAGCATTAACACAGGCCAGAGAGGCAGAGTGAGACAGGCGGACTGAGAGCCGATAAACAGTGGTCACTCATACAGGCAGACAGACTGCCTGATAGACCTGATAGACCTGATAGACAGTTCCTCTGCTAGATATGAAAAGCAGACAAAGAATACACTCATAATCTCTGCCACAAACCTCTACCTTCATTACCTTAATCTCTCTCACTGTTTACACATTACATATACATAATATATATATATATATATATATATATATATATATACTGTATATATAATATAAAATGTTGAAAAACTATCCATGTTGACACTCTTGCTGGAGCTCATGCTGTAGGATAAGGTAACATCAGAATCAATGAAACACAATGTTCCTTCCCAAGTGTCTGCTATTTCAGGTGGAGAGACTGGATTTTTACAAAGCACAGGTGGAAGAGGTCTTGAAAGACAAATGGAAAAAAGACAGCCTCACCTTGAAGATGTCAGTACATAAAGTTGTGCTCCCATACCTTCCTGAAGCACAATCTTTCCGAACCTCACTGGCTTGTGATTTATAATGAGAATATCACATGTTTATGTGTCATGGCCTACATACAGCAGTATGAGGTGGCAAAGTTCTGGATGAGTCCCACATTTCCTCTAGAAAGCTACTTTCTTGCATGACTGTGTTGATGCAGTCATACATTCAGACCTCTTTCTGTGTCACCCTCACTCTGCATTTAACCTGAATCACACTTGTTTGTAGAGAATTGGTGGGTGTTTGTGTGTTTGTGTGTTTGTGTGTGTGTGTGTGTGTGTGTGTGTGTGTGTTTGTGTGTGTGTTGATGCATGTGTGCCTGCATTTGTCCATTTGCCCGGTGCATAACCTCCTGTGTCAGTCTGACAGGCCCTGTGCCCCCGCTGGCCACCATGCCATGCGACGCTCCTCCTGCTGAGGCCAACAGGAAGTGACACATGTGAAATGCTGACCTGGTCAGTTGCAGCCCCCTCCAGGGCCTCAGGATGCTGCTCTTTTAGTCACTCTTCCCCTCTCTTCCCTCGCTCCCTGGCTTTTTCTTTTCTATTTTTTTATCTTCCAGAAGAACCTCAAAAGACTTGCGTCCGCCTCCATTCACCCGTCGATTCTGTAACACTTTTTTCCCTCTTTGTCTCTCTCCCAAAATGATTAAGGAAATTGCAGCCCATTTCCCAGGTCAGTGAGCAGTTCTGTATCACTCTTCTCTGCTGCCAGAGAGCCCGGTAGATCATAGTTCA